GAATGCCCTGGTCTTCTGGATCAGATTAGCCATAGAAAGGCAAGGCAGACCCTCGGGATAAGAATTATAGTTTATCAAGTTCATCCTTCTATCTCTAGCATCAAGAACTGTCCCTGGCACATAGTAGGTCCATGATAAATACTGAATGAGTGAATAAAGGAATGAAGAAATGCTTTCACCATACAAGCATGATCTCATTCAATCTGCAAAGGGAGGCACAGGAGGGCAAGCGTTGCCTCGTTTTGCGGATGGGGAGCTGAGATCAAGAGAGTGTGTCTTGTCCAGCCAGTGTGACTCAGTGTCGACTCTGCACCAAGAGGTTGCCAGTTCGATTCCTGGTCAGGGCACATGCCCAGGTTGTGGGCCCAATCCCCAGTGGGGGGCATGCAGGAGGCGGCCAATCGATGTTCTCTCGCATCCATGTCTCTCTCTCTCCCTCTCCCTTCCTCTCTCTCTAAAATCAATAAAGGAAAAAAAAAAGTAAAAAAAAAAAGAGCGTGTGTCTTGCCTAAGGTCCTTCAACTTGGATGTGACAGACTGAAGGCTAGACACTGCACTCTATAGTAGCATGCTGAACATTTTTGGTATAGCATCCTGTGACTTGACATTAACTTCCCTTTGGGTCATGCTGTTTAGAAAATAGCCCTTCAGGGGAGGAAGCGGAGGGTCTGGGTGGGGAGTAAAAACGAAAAGAAAACAGCCCTTCAGCCCTTCACGGACCCAGTTTCCTGGACTGTCTCAGGGCTAATTTCAGACATCCTGGTCCTCCTTGAACACCTGGCATCTGCCTATTCTTTTATGAGCAGCTCCAGGAAAGGCAGGGGGCTGGTGGCTTTACTCTGGAAGTCAGGAACAGGATGAAATCACACACATTCAGTTCCTTATTCTCTCACTCTTGACAGAAAGTTCAGATAGCCTAGACCAGCAAGTTAGTTCCTGAACTCAGGCAAGGAATTAACTCATATTACATACAGCAAGGATTTTCCAGGAGATCAGAGCCCAGTCTAAGGAATGTTTCTGGAAGAAGATCACCAAAGCCAGCAAAAGGGCTCCCCTGAGCTGCAACATCTTATATCACCTGGCCTTTCTCTTCACAGCATTTGGTCTTATACCCCTCTCTTACGAAGGAAGCGAGGTATGGAACACAAGAATAAGGCTCAGAAAACCTGGGTTCTAGTGCTGGCTTTGCCACTCATCAACTATGTATCTTCTCTCCACCTCATTTTCCTCATCTGCAAAATGAGAATAGTGATTACTAACTACATCATAAGGCAATTGTGAGTTTAAAGAGGAATAGTTTGTATCAAAGTGATTTTTAGCACAAGGCAGAAACAATGTCAGTACTATTTTTTTTATGACCCCCCAAAAAAAAGGACAGAGAGGAAACTTCCAGAGGGCCCCAAAGCTCTGTTTCCACTTGTTCACTGATTCATTCATAATAAATGAACAAGGGATGCGCAAGTGCTGAAGGAGAGACAAAGGTAGTTAATGCGGAGTCTCTGCACTCAAAGAATTGAAAGAATGACACAGACTGTGCACCAATAAATGGGCCCAGAGATTTCAGAAAGCAGCAAAGATCGCAGAGGGGAAAAGAAGTTCTGTGAAGAGTTGGAGGCTTCAGGATTGTTCAACCAGGTGAAGAGGCCACAGACGGAAGGAAGGAGTAGAGTAGAGGAGAGTCATGCTGCATAACGGTTTCCAATCCTCTTTGTTGGAGAGGAAATGAGGTCATCCTGCTCTCAAAAATCAGCATGACAGCCTCCAGCCCTGTAATCTGGAGTCATGAGAGCTGCTGAGCTCTGTGAATCATGATGGTCTGCTGGGAATTTCCTGATAACTAACCTAAGAGTTTCGGGGTAAGTCCTAAGGCTGCAACATCTCTGTTTACATTTTGATCACGTTTATTAACAATTAATGGATTCTAAATCCAAACAAAACACGCCACATTCTAGAGGAAGTAGTAAGGCCAGCTCTGAGATCTACAGCACCTCTGACTCAGTCATACCCTGGGAGGCTGGCAGTTTAGCTAGGCACAGAAAAACTCTCTCTGGAGAACAATGGGTTGCTTGCTTTCCTATGCTGAATGGTTAACTTACACACTTTCCCCAGGCAGAGGCTGGCATCCTGAGACCTCTGGCTGGAACAGAGCAGCAGGGGCTTTCTTCCTTCCTACCACCCTGGCCCTCTCCCTGCCCTCCTCCTCCTGTACTTCTCTAGTAGACCCAGACTCAAAGTCCAGGTGTGCCAGGCAGCAGAATGCTGTAGGTCTAGACAGGGAAAGGGACCAAGCCTTGGGTCTGGCTTTGGGCCCGGCTTTGGGCCCTTAGTGAGTTATAGGTACTCAAACCTCTCCTTTCTTATCAAGGGGGAAAGTCTTGGTGAGTAGAATCCAACTGACTCCAAGCTCAGGTTCCCAAAACTAGGGGACAGAGGTGGGGGCTGAATGAACCTCAAAGTCCCCATTGTGCTCCTTCAGCTATGCCTGAAGGATATGTGCATGTGTATGTGCCTGTGTACAAAACTGTTTGCCTTGCCCCTGGGCAAGAAGAGCAGGTTGAGTCCTTTATACAGGGTCAGTCTTGCTGGAGGTCAGTCTTGTTTGATAAGCAATTATTTTATCTTATCAAAAACAATGCCTTGTGATGAAGTAGAACAGAAATAAATATGCATTTTAAAATCTGTAATTATCATTGGGCTGGTGTGGCTCAGTGGATTGAGCATCATCCCATGGACTGCAAGGTCCTGGTTCGATTCCCAGTCAGGGCACATGCCTAGGTTGCGGGCTTGTTCTCCAGTAGGGGGTTGTGGAAGAGGCAGCCAATAGATGTATCTCTTTCACAGCATTGTTTCTATCTCTCTCTCCCTTCCTCTCTCTCTAAAAATCAATAAAAACATATTTATAAAAAACCTGTAATTATCTTTAGCCCAGCTGGTGTGGCTCAGTGGTTGAGCATCAACCCATGCACCAAGAGGTCGCCAGTTTGATTCCTGGTCAGGGCACATGCCCAGGTTGTGGGTTCAATCTCCAATGAGGGGCATGCGGGAAGCATCCAATGGATCTTCTCTCTCATCATTGTTTTTATCTCCCTCTCCCTCTCCTTTCCTCTCTCTCTAAAATTAATAAAGAAAAATTTTTTTTAAAAAATCTGTAATTATCTTTTTAGAATGCATGATACAAAGATGCATTTTCAAAAACTTAAACAATGTAAAATAAATCTTCTTTTTGTTCTTGTCCTCCAGTTTCCCAATTCTTCTCCTCAGAGGCGAAAACAGAGCTTCCTACTGTAGATGAAAAAGGCCACATACTGCCCTGGCCAGTTTGGCTCAGCGGATAGCATGTTGGCCGGAGGACCAGTGAGTCCCAGGTTTGGTTTCTGATAGGGGCACATACCTCTGTTGTGGTTCACGGTTCATCCCGGCCCCAGTTGGGGTCCTGCGGGTGGCAACCACTCGATGCAACCACTTGATGCATCTCTCTCACATGATGTCTCTCTCTCCCTCCCTTAGTCATGTCCTCGGTGGGCATCTTCCCTGAAAAAGGTCAATCTTTACCTTAATTGACCCTGTTTATTGTCTTTTTGCATCTATGATAACATACCTTTGGAATGTCAAAGTAACTTTCCTTTTTCTGGACCCTTCAGGCACCACTCTACCAGACTGCAAATCCCCTCATTGTTATTGTGTTAACCGTTGATTGTCAACTATCCTGTACCCACCTAAGTAAAACATGTATGTGTCTATCATTTAACTTTTCATCCAGTCCCAGAGATATTCCTGCTTTGCCTTCTCCACCTCCCTAATCTATCACCAATGGATTTCAAGTAATCCCTTTATGTCTTTTCTTTTGATTGTAAAGTATAAAATAAGGTGTAAAACTGCCATTCTCTGGAGCATTATCTCAATCTTTTAAGATGTTGCTTCCTGGCAATTGTTTTGGCTCAAATAAACTCACAAAAGTTCTCTATAGGTTTGAATGTTTCTTAAATTAACACTACCCCTCTATAGCTTACTGTCTACATCAATAAGACTTTACCATTCCATTGTCTTTATTAACTAACTATACTCTGGTCCAGGCCAATAAATGGATTGTACCTTACAGGAACTTCCTGAAAGACCCATCAATACATCAATAGAAAGCATCAAGAGTTTGTGCCCTAAGACTCCCTTTTCACAATCCTACAACATTGTGTCACAACCTTTATCTAATACTCATCAAGCCCTCACTTTCTTTTTTCTTTTTTGCTCAATCCCTCCCCCCAGTCCCCACCAAGCCCTCGCTTTCAAAGACTGCCTTTAAACCAAACTGCAAATTCTCAATAAAATCCGACCTCGCCTTCTCCTCTTCCCCATACATTACCAAACTCCCTTGCCTTGGTAAGCAATTATCTCAGCTTTGTTTCATCCACTAGTTGTGTTGATGATTTTGGGAAAGACGGTATTGGAAATAAGCCGCCCTTGTTAGCAGGTATCTTTGTCTGTGTTTTCAGCGAGTATGTGTCACGTGTATTTTCACATTGAGAAAAAGACTTCACAGCTATTAGAGTTGCGAATTATGCCCTGCACCCAGGGTTCTCATTCACTCTCCTGGGCAGTTGGCGGCAGAGGGTGGAAAGGTTGGAGAAGAGGTGATTTGGGGAATCTGGGGGGAGGCATCAGAGCGGGACAGGGGAGACAGTCTCCGAGTGCCTCTCCTCTCGGCAGTTGGGTGGGGGTGGGGGTGGGCTGCATGGGGCGGGGCCCAGGACAGGTGAATGGGAGGAGGGGAGGGAAATTTAGATGCCTCCATATTTCTCAGTTTATATCTCGTTTGTCCCCACCACCAGGGACCGCGCCGCTCCTCACTCTGTCACAGTTGAGGAAACATGCAGGGTCCAGGTCGCGCAGGCTCCGGGGAAGGGGAGGGAAAGGGAGTGGACAGGGCGCTGCCGGGGCGGGGCCAGGGCCAGGGCGGGTCTTCATATACAGCCCGAGCGCGCGGGCTAGCAACAGAGCCGGGAGACGAGCCGCAGATCCCCGCCAGAGTCAACGGTCCGACTTCCCGCCCGCGCCCCTCCTGCCGCAGCTGCCGGTGAGTGCAGGCCACCCTGCGAGCGCGGGGAGGATGCGCCGTGGCCGACTCCTGCGGGCTTCCCTTCCCCCAACCCCGGCAGCCCGGGCTGGGCAGCGGCTGTGCACCCAATGGCCGCTCCGCGTGCCCTTGCATCCCCCTGCGGGTGCCGGTCCAGGCTGTGCCGAGACCCTGAATCCCAGAGAAGAGGGACAACCGCAGGCTCACCTCGCAGGTGACCTAGGGGCTCTGCCCTGAACTGCAGTAACCCACCCAGCGCGCCTTCTCGCTCCTCCGCTTCTTCCCTTGACTTCTCCTTCCCGTGCAGGGCCGCTGTCTAGATCCCCAGCCTCGCCACCATGAGAGTCCCGCTGGCGTGCCTGCTCCTCTGTGCTCTGACTGTGAGCAACTGCAAAGTAAGCAGCTTCCCTGCTTTGACTTATGGCGGCGGGAGGGGTCTTGCAGGACCCCCGAACAGTGCCAGGGAAGGAAGGAGCTGAGTAGGGAGCTGACGTCCTCCGGATTCCATCCACAGCAGGGCTATGGTGGGGGAGAGGGGCAGGTGTGGCAGCGGGGAGCCTGGAGAACCCAGAGACTTTGCACTTGCAGGCAAGGTGGGAAGAAGCATTTGGAACTTCCCCAGGCTGCTGTCACCTGATATTTGAATTCACTTCTCCTCTCTGGAAACCTATGATCTTCCATTTGAGGGCTAGTTAGATATGATCAGGGTGAGGAGAGGGAGCTGTAGGGAAGGGTGAGTTTTGGGATTGGGGCCGCGGAGCTCCAGGGGCATGGGACTGTTGGTGAACTTTCCCCCTCCCCCTGTCTTTTCCAGGACCGCCATGACCTCCATCCAGCATCTGGTGCATGTGAGTATCCACCCCTTGCACAATATCTGGCTGCACAGACATCTTGAAGAAGCCTCAGGAGGCAGCCCTGCCCTTTCCCTGATGCAGGGCTGGCTCCCCTTTTACCTCCTCCCATGCTCCTTGCTTACCCACCTCCAACTTTGTGCTTTTCAGCAAACTGTGCCTGTCTGAATGGAGGGATATGTGTGTCCTACAAGTACTTCTCCAACATTCAGCGATGCAGCTGCCCAAAGAAATTCCAGGGGGAATACTGTGAGATAGGTATGGAGATCCTTACTCTAACTGGGAGGAGGGGGCACAAAAGATTTTGGGGCAAGGGGAAAGGAGTGGGATGCAAGAGCAAGCAGGGGTTAGGAGCTGGAGGTGGAGTTGGGGATATCATCCCTGTGTGATATGATATACACAGTCAAACACATAAACACACATTGTCTCATGAAGCTGTGGCTGCACAAATGTGAGGTGAGATGGAAGAAGACCCTTTCTAGTATCTTCTGCCAGGCCTGAAGTCATGCGAGGCCTGGTAGGATCTCAAAAATGCCTGTCTGAATTTCCTCCTCTTTCTGATATTCTCTCATCCTCACATCCTTCCAAAGATGCATCGAAAACCTGCTATCAGGGAAATGGTCACTCTTACCGAGGGAAGGCCAACACTGACTTCATGGACCGGCCCTGCCTGACCTGGGACTCTGTCAATGTCCTTCTGAAACCATATAATGCCCAAATACCTGATGCTCTTCAGCTGGGCCTGGGGAAACACAATTACTGCAGGTGAGGTGGGGGCAGCAAGGACCTTCCCCATGGCCTCACAGAAGCCCTTATTCACATTCTCTTCTGCTTCCAGAGGGCTGGCCATAACATGAGAAAAGCAAGGCCTCTGGTTGAGTCTTTCTTGGAGGTGAGAACACAGAGTATTGAAATGACACTCTCTCCCCTCTGTGTTGCCAGGAACCCAGACAACCGGGGAAGGCCCTGGTGCTATGTGCAGGTTGGCCGAAAGTCGCATGTCCGAGAGTGCAAGGTGCACAGCTGCTCTTTGGGTGAGTGTCACCAGCCTGTTTATGATAGTGGGTGAAAGGGGACAAACTCATATGTCCCCTTATTCCATCACAGGAGGGACAAAGATGGAGGCCTGCCTGGCCCCCAAAACTGGGAGGTCAGAGGATGAGGAGAGGGACACTTTATCCTACCTGTCTTCCAAGACATCCCTCTCTTTCTCGTCCTAAAGCAAAGTTTCAGTGTGGTCAGAAGGCTCTGAGGCCCCGCTTTAAGATTGTTGGGGGAGACTTCATCAGCATTGAGGACCAGCCTTGGTTTGCAGCCATCTATAGGAAGCACCGTGGAGGTTCTGTCAACTACGTGTGCGGGGGCAGCCTCATCAGCCCTTGCTGGGTGGTCAGCGCCACACACTGCTTCATGTACGTCCCTTTGTCTCTTCTCCCTTTTCCTCCTGCCCTACCCAAAACACATCCCTTTCGCCTTCCCAGGAAAGGATTTCACTTCAATTCTACCCCCTCCGCCCTTCCATGTGGCCCATAGACTTGGGGACAAGTCATGCTCCAAGGTCACTGTGGGGGGGAGAGGGAAGTGACAGAATCTCATGAGATCAGACTGACAGGTCTCCTTTCCTGCAGTAATCACCAAAAGAAGGAGGACTATATTGTCTACCTGGGTCGGTCGAAGCTTAACTCCAATACACTGGGGGAGATGAAGCTCGAGGTGGAAAATCTCATCTTGCACGAGGACTATAGCGCTGACACACTCGCTCACCACAATGATATAGGTGAGTGGAAAATCACCATGATGGCCGGGAGAGAAGGAGTTCAAAAAGAGACTCAAGTGGGAGGTTGAGGTTGTAGGGGAATTTGAAGACCATACTTTACACAACAAAGAGAGAAGTGGGGAAGGGTTCAGAGTGAAATACATATATAAGAGGCTTGGTGCTCTCCTGTAGAGTCCCTGAATTTCCAAACAGGCAGCATTCTCTGGGTGGCAGTGACCCTGTGGGCAGTGATGCCCCTTCCTTTGTTGGATGCACGTTCTGTCTGTCCCAGGATATAGAACTTTGAGAGGGCATTGGGCTGGATTTCAGCCCAGCTGCTTCAGCCAGGGCTTTTGGAGAAAAAACTCATGCAGCTGTATGCAGGAGCCCTGGCTGCCCAAGCCTTTGTCAGCAGCTGGAACAAAGCCCAGGAGGCATTGGACAAGGGAGGTTTGTTGCATCCTACCAGCATACCTCCCAGGATGACCTGTGAGCCTAACTGACGGAGGCATAGCCTGCTACTCCCTCAGCATTTGGATGGCAGAGATGGTGACCACCTGACCAGGTGGTGATCTGTCTCCTCTGACCTCTCCCTCAGCCTTGCTGAAGATCGTTTCCACCTCGGGCCAGTGTGCACAGCCATCCCGGTCCATACAGACCATCTGCCTGCCCCCAAAGTATGACGATGCTCATTTTGGCACAAGCTGTGAGATCACTGGCTTTGGAAAAGAGAATTCCAGTAAGTGACCTTTGGGGCTAGCTGAGGGTCCTGGAGGAGTGTTGTCACCTGGGAGTGAGCTAGCTTGATTAAGGAAGGACTGTGGAGATAGAGAGGAGCTGTACAGGTGGCAGATGGGTCCAGGGAGGGAGTAGGAAGCACTCTTTAGGAAATAATGGATCATAAAGGTAAATAGGTGGAGGGTGAGGAGCTATAGCTGGGGTGAAAACTCAGATTTGGGTGGAAAAAGAATAGGGCTTCCCTGGTAGGAATAATTTTGGTCCCCTGCCTGGCAGAGAGTCCCAGTAGAAAGGCTGGGTAGACACATCTTAACATAAATTCCTTCATGTTTCTCCCATCAAGCTGACTATCTCTATCCAGAGCAACTGAAAAAGAGTTTTGTGAATCTGATTTCCTACCAGGAGTGTCAGCAGCCCCACTACTATGGCTCTGAAGTCACTACCAATATGCTGTGTGCTGCTGACCCACAGTGGAAAACAGATACTTGCCAGGTGAAAGTTCTAAGCATCTCTCTCCATTACCCCCAAATCTCTTCAGGGCTCCTGGGCATGTCTCTGCCAGCTTTGGGGAGCCTCTCTCCAGCCAAAGCCCCAAGAAACAAGAATTAGAAGCTCAAGTGTCAGAAGGTTTAAACCAATTCTAATGTCCTTACCAAACATTTGTCATCAGCTTGTCTCTGTGCTAGGCACTTCAGATTGGGGGAGAGAGGAGGACTAAGAAGAAACAATAGAAAACAGTATAACTCACTGTTCAGAGTGTGGTGTGTATTATAAATTATCAGATGTTTAGGAGAGGGAGGTGCGTACCAACTAGATGGTCACAGAGAGGAGGCTTTAAAGAGAGTGTGGCTCGCCCTGGCCGGTTTGTCTTAGCAGTTGAAGCATTGGCCTGTGGACCAGAGAGTCCCGGGTTTGGTTCCCACTAGGGGCACGTACATAAATAAATAAATAAATAAATAAATAAATAAATAAATAAATAAATAGAATGTGGCTCAATAGGGATTTGAGGAGGCAGAGTGAAGAAAAGAGAGCATTCCAGTTGCAAGATACAAAACTGAGAATGAGCCCGACCGGTGTGGCTCAGTGGTTGAATGTCTACCCATGCATGAAGAGGTTGCCAATCTGATTTTCAGTCAGCACACATGCCCAGGTTGTGGGCCAAATCCCCAGTGGGAGGCATGCAGGAGGCCAATTGATGTTCTCTCTCATGGATGTTTCTCTCTCTCTCTCCCTACCTCTCTTTTTAAAAATCAATAAAGAAAAAATAATTTGAATGAGCACTACATATTCCAGGATGGGAAGAGAGGTAGGGTCTGAGAATGTAGGTAGAATAGTGGCACATAATAGTGTTTTGAAAGCCAAGCAGAGGATTTTGAATTTGATATAGTAGGAAATGGGGAGTCATTAAGGACTTTGACTCTGGGAAACTTTCCCTTCTCTCTCTGGCATGATAAGGTGGTAGGATCTGATGGCCTCCTCCTAACTTCCAGTGCTAACCTTTTGTGTCTTTGGCTTAACAGGGAGACTCAGGAGGGCCCCTGGTCTGCTCAATCAAAGACCGCCTGACTCTGACTGGGATTGTGAGCTGGGGCCGTGACTGTGCCATGAAGGACAAACCAGGTGTCTACACGAGGGTCGCACGCTTCCTGCCTTGGATCAGCACTAAGACCGGCCTACCCCTCTGAAGGTCCCCAGGGAGCCAAGGGAGAAGGGCACTACCCTCTCCCATGCTGACTGTCATTTTTGCACTTGGTCCATCTGTACCAGCCATATATATAAGGAAGAGACTGAGGAAGATAGGCTCTGCAGAGATGGTTTCGCTTGTGCTGCCCACCAGGATGAGCAACAATAATAGCTTTACCCTCAGATGCAGGTCTGGGTGCTGGGCGCACAGATCCCCACTGGCCAGAATGGAGGGGTGGTCCTGATCCAGGATGGTGCTGACCAGTAGTTTGTCTTTTTCTGGATTAAAGCCTTCTGGAGATGAAAATGGCATCTCCTATGCATGGGAAGGAAAGCTAGCTCCCCTAACAGTGGACATTTATGAGGCCTATTATTGGGAAACGAATAATTTCCCAATTAGGAAGTGTAACATAACTGATGTCTCTTGAGGGAGCTTGGCCAATGTGGGAGCAGTGGTTTGGGGAGTAGGGACACTAATAGCTTGAGGGCTCTGACATTCCATGAATGTATCAGGAAATATTATATATACATGTATATGTTTGCACACTTGTGCACAGGCTGTGAGTAGTCAGAGTGAGTAAGAGCTGGTGTTCCTATGTCTAACATAAGTCTAGACATTTCCCTAAACTGGATGGACTGTGATGTCACATAGAATGCTCTGTCAGGAGAGGTCATGGGTCACTCCTGCCTCTTGAGTTCCCCATATAATAATGCCTATGAATGTACCATTCTGAGGCATGGCACATGACCACCATTAAAATTTCAGTTTCACTTTCACATAAATGTCCCTTTTCTGGACAGTTATTGATTCTGACCTTCCAGCTGAGTTCATCCAATCCTCATTGGGTGGGGTGAGGACCACTCCTGTACACTGAATATTTAATAATTCTGCTATTTTTATTTATATCTATTTTTATAATTTTGAATAACGATGATTAATAAAATGTGACTTTTCTGAAGACTTTCTTCCCTGGTGCTTTTATGGGAGGAGTTGGGGAGCATAAAAAGTAGAAAATGACCATGGTGGCATGAACCCAAGTTTCTCGTGGGGCTGCATCTCTGCATATAATGAGGCTTTGGGAAGTAGAGGCTAGGAGAAGTATAGGTCAGGGCCTCCACAGCACATAAGGTACCAAAGGTGCTGTAAGCCGGCTGCCCACAGCTTGGGACGGGGTGTGCAGGCTAGTGTCAACTCCCAGTTCCCTCCTCAGCCTGGTGCTTTTGTGCAGGGAACATCTTGTACAACTTCACGGTGATTCTCTTTAGTATTAGTCCCACTATATTCTCCACTCTGCCCTCAACAATCCTTGGGCTGACCTCAACCAAGGACAAGACCTGTAGGAGTGAGAATTGTTGAATCTGTGGCACTCGGGGAACAGAAAACAATTAATTGCCCATTATCTGTGTGTGGGGTGGTGCTGAGTTTTCTCAATATGTTACTGGAGCTCATGACCTGCCATTGCTTTTCCTAAGATCAGGTAGCTCAGAATCTGAAACTGGTTGATATCCTAAAGGAGGTGAGCATATATTTTGAACCAAACATCAGCTTCTGAAGAGTGGGTGTAGAAGGCGGCCTGAGATATATATTGGATGCCAAAACACTGGAGTTTCCCAGCTATGTTCACGGGTTTTGGCAGCGTTTCTTACCCAAGTCACCTGAGAACCATTTAAAAACATGCCTGCCTATGCTCCACCCACAAAGATTGTGATGCAGGTCAGGGCTGCTGCCAGGCTCTGTGGGTTTGAAAAACTCAGGTGTTTCTGATAAGCACCCTGATTGAATATATTGGCCAGATTATGTAAAGTGCCCAGTAAATTCAAGACGTGTTCTCTGAAAAAGTTTTCTTTTTTTCCCCCTCACCGGAGGCTATTTTTCTGTTTATTTTTAAACAGAGTGGAAAGGAGGGAGGGGCAGGAGAGAGAGACAGAGAGAGAGACATCTCACATAGACTGGTTGCCTCCCGAATAACCCTGACCTGAGTGCAGGTACGTGCCCTTGACTGGGAATCAAATCAGAGACCCTTTGGTCCACGCCGAAGCTCTAACTTCTGAGCAAACCAGCCAGGGCTGCGCAAACCTGTTTTCTTTTTTTTTTTATCCTCACCCGAGGACATTTTCCCATTTGTTTGTTCAGATAGAGTGGGAGGGAGAGAGAGGAAGAGAGAGAGAGAGAGAGAAACATCGATGTGAAAGGGACAGATCAAGTGGCTGCCACCCACACAACCCAACCAGGGCCGGGGACAAAATGCAACTGAGGTACATGCCCTTAGCGGGAAACGAACCCGGGTCTCTCTGGACTGCAGGCTGACGCTCTAACCGCTGAGCCAAACCAACCAGGGCACACAAACCTTTTTCTAAGTGGGGTTTTGGGGTGCAAGTTCTCCTGGGCTTCCTGTTCAGAGGTTCCCTAGACTATAGGCAAGGACACAAAATATTCAGTTTTTGTTTGTTTGTTTTTTAGGAAAGTTGGCTGACACCTTTATTGCTTTGGCGGGGAGGGGTTGCTCAGGAGCTCTTGGTGGGGCAGCCCTCTTTCTCTTCACCCTCATGGGCTTTTGGCTATGCTGGGTGGCGCTGGCCCTGCAGATGATGGCCATGCGCAGATCCAGGTGGTACTTGTTCAGCGTGGCCCAGGCGTTCTTGATGGTGGTCCACACATAGAAGGTGGCTGGCTTTCCCTGGCCAGGATCTCTGCTTCTTGACAACCACACCTTTGCCTTGGGCCCCCACACCCACGGTCTTATGGTGAGTCAGCCCATTGTAGCAAAAGGAGTCGTGGGCCTTCAGATGACTGGATTTGGTACTGTACCGTCTGCTTGTTCCTCTTGATCAGGAATCTGGAGCAGCTCTGTCCTACCATCCACTGCAGATGGGCAGACATGGCGGCAGCTCCTACGGCAGCTGCAGCCGGAGACGGAAAGAGCCCAAAGTACTCAGTTTTAAATCCCCACAATCTAGCATGTTGTCTTATTCAGTATGATATAGTGGTTTCAGAGCATGGATTTTGGAGTCAGGCAGACTGGACTATAATTCTGGCTCTAATACTAGCTGTGTGTCTTGGGAAAGACTCTTAGCTTCTCTGTGCCTCTGTTTCTTCATCTGCGAGAGATAATATCTACCCCCCAGGATTATTATAAGGATTCATGAGTTCCTAAGTCTCTCACCATAATCCTGGCACCTAGTAAAGGCACAAAAATGGTGGCTGTTATTACAAAGCCATGTCAATTCTTATAGAATTGCATGGACCCCACCTCCCCTCTCCCACCCCAGGAGTTTGGTGTTTTGTGAGAGCTGAAACTTGTTAGGAAAGAAAAGGCATGATGTGAAGCTAAGGGGCCTAGCCCAGACTGAGTTTGCTGCTCAACCTCTGTATTTGCCCCCAGGGGCCAAGAAAGATCTTGTTCCAACATGAGAAGCTCTAGCATCAGGGCTCACAGACACTGAAAACAGGAAGTATGAGCTCCACTGGTTGGGTTGAGCAATGACACTTCTGACTCTCTTCAGACCATTTCCCAGCCACCACCCGACCTCCAGCCAACTGCTGCCCTTCCCTGAATTGTAGATCTCACTCGGGGCTGGCAGAGATCAGCTCCTTTTCCACAATCAGTTTCATGGCTCCAGATACTACCTGTCACTCACTTTAGGGACTAGTCTACTTCTAGTGCTCACGATGCACTGGGCACTGTACTAGGCTTTTCACATATTATCTGGTTTAATCCTCACAGAAATTCTAGGAGAAAGGTGTTATTATTAGCCCCATTTTACAGTAAAGAAAATGGAGGCACAGAGAGATGAAGGGACTTGCTCAAAGTAATGCAGCTGGTGAGTGGCAGAGCCAGGGTTTGGACCCAGGCAGCTGGCTCCAAAGTGCACAAGCCAAGCACTGTGACATATGACCTTTCAGCAGGGCCCAACTGAGGAAAGCGGAGAGCAGACCTCCTTTCAAGGACCCTACTTCAAGGGTGTCTAGGGTAAGTGTATGAGAATTTCAATCCGTACCTAGTTTATAGTTCTTTCCTCTTAAAAGATTCCCAGGCCAAGTAAGGAGACCACACTCAGCCACCAGTTTCAAAGTAAAACCACCTTCTCAAGCTAACCTCAGCCTTTTTTGTTGAAACCTGATTTCATTGAAGTGGTTTCCGTTTTCACCAGAACTCCTTCTTCTGAAATATTTTGTGGCCCATTCTATTATCAGAACACAAATTGATTTCAACTTACACTCTGCTCTCCTTAAACCAACTCCCCATAACAACCACACCCCTGCATATATCCCTCCAAACTAATCCCCAGTGGGTCCACCTTCCCTAGCAGAAAGCATTTGAGCTTTCCCTTTAAATCAGACAGTAAGAGATGTTGCTGAGCTGTTTTCAAAAGAACAGTATTGCCCTGGCTGGTGTGGCTCAGCGGTTAGAGCATCAGCCTTCAGGCTGAAGGGTCACAGGTTTGATCTCCAGTCAAGGGCATGTACCTGTGTTGCAGATTCAATCCCTGGCTCGGGTTGGGGTCATGTGGGAGGCAATCACCAATCAATGTGTCCTTCTCACATTGATGTTTCTCTCTCTCTCTCCCCTTCCCTCCCTTCTACTCTATCTAAAAATTAATGGAAAAATATCCTCAGGTGAGGTCCTGGCCAGGTTTAGCTCAGCCAGTTAAAGCATTGGCCTGTGGACTAATTAGTAGCAGGTTCAATTCTGGTCAAGGGAACATACCTCGGTTGTGGTTTGTCCCCGGCCCTAGTTGGGTCTCCTGGGAGGCAACCAGTCGATGTGTCTCTTTCACATTGATGTTTCTCTCTGTCTCTCTCTTCCTATCTGATGATAAATGGAAAAATAACCTCGGGTGAGGAATAAAACAACAACAACAAAATATCCTCAGGTGAGGATTAACAAAAAAATAAATAAAATAACAGTATTGCCCTGGTCAGTGTGGCTCAGTTTTCTGGGCATCTTCCCATGCATCAGGAGGTCACCAGTTTGATACCCCGTCAGGGGACAGGCCAGGGTTGTGGGCTCAATCCCCGGTAGGGGATATGCAAGGGGTAGCCAATCGATGTTTTCTTCTCATGTCAATGTTTCTCTCTCCCCCTCTCCTTTCCTCTTTTGAAAAAAATCAATTAAATAAAAAGTCTTTAAAAAATAGACTTCCATTTCCCTAATAGCAATCTATCCCTTGTTAAAAATGGATACTAGGACTTCCGGTCAAGATGGCCATGTAGGTAACCGTGGTATCACGTCCTCCCACAACCACATCAAAGTTACAACTAAACTACAGAACAACCATCATTCAGAACCGCCTGAAATCAAGCTGAATGGCAGTCCTACAACTACGGAATTAAAGCAGCAGCCACATCCAGACTGGTAGGAGGGGCGGAGGCGGACGGGCTGGTCCCACACCCACGTGTGGCGGATAAAAATCAGGAGGACACCTCGGCTGGGAAGGTCCTCCCTGAGGACTGAGGGGTCCCCATCCCACACCAGATGCCCCGCTCAGGGTTCCAGTGCCAGAGAGAGAACTGGCTGGAAAAACCAGCGGGAACTGAGGCTGAGGGAGGCTGAGGCAGCTGGAGCCCCAGGCAGCTCCTCTTAAAGGGCCCGCACACGGACTTAATCAGACTTGCACCCTCCAGGCTCCAGCATGGGGGAGGTAGCTTGAAAGGCACCAGAGTCATATGGGGAAGAACTGAGTTGTTTGGCGTTAGAGTGAGGGCTGGAGATGTAGCTTTCTCTTGGTCAGATGTGCTGTCAGAGGCCTTTGTTCCTTTGGTGAGCCCTTCCCTGGGACAGCAGACAGTCACCATATCTAGACTCCAGCAACCTGGCTCACACTGGTAGCCCTGCCCTGGTGATTCCCTGAGGCCCCGCCCCACCCAACTTTCAGGCCCACAAAAGCTGTTGCCAGTTGCTTTACCGTAGGATTGGCCTGTCTTGGATTCTGTTTCAGGTTTTCCTAAATTCTTTCAAACAAGCAGCATCTGGTCTCAGCCAGCCCCATTCCTCTCTTTAAGTAATACATAGAAACAAACACAGGGAGGCAGCCAAAACGAGGAGAC